ATTAATTATCTTATTAAGCGTGATTAAAAGTACTAATTCCCTTTAATCATGCATAAAACGCGTGATCAAGCAATAACAATAATAATAATCATCATCATAATAATCTCAATAAAGCATAATAATATTAGCAAGATCCTAGGCATGATGCTAACAAGATTAATAACAAATCCTAGCATGTCACTAAACATTAAAGATCAAACCTTTAGCCCTAACATGATACTAACAAGATAGAAGGAAAAACAAAGGAAGCATCCCATAGAAACATACATGATATTATAAAGGTTAGTTATTACCCTAAACATGATACTAGGAATCATACAGACATCCTAACATGACACTAGGAACCAAAATTATCAAAGAATGATTTCTTTAACAAAATAATAACAATTAAATTACTTACTTGGATGCCTCGAATCTCTTTCTAATAATAAAATAACGATGTTAGTAACTTCAAGGAAAATAATAAACAATAAATCTAATCAAAGAATTGAAATAAGATTTTGGACCAAACCCTTAGAAATTATCAACCTTTCACATCTAGGACGAAGGCAACTTTGAACTTAGCTAAGTGTGTCTAGAACTTATGAATGTGGAATTTTGTAAAAGGGGAGGGTTTAGAAAAATAATAGAGAGAGAATAAGCTTCTAGCTTTAGAGAGAGAATAGAATTAGATGATTGTGAATCCATAAAAACAGGGAGATACGACTCCTATTTATAAGAAAATAGCCCGGAATTGATAGAAACAAATCAGAATTTGTATCAGAATGAAAGTGCTGCTTGTCGCGAGCGACATGAATCATGCATGGCGACTAGCCCTGTCGTTTTTGCGACAGGCTTGTCGTTATGCAACATCTTAAAAGATAAACACGCTTTTGTACGGAATCCTTTTTCTTCATATAATTAAGCGATAAAAACTCCGTTTTATCAATTTTAAATCAGATTTATCATAATAAAACACTTGTATTATTTCAAACCAAATTCATTATTTTTTCTTAAATATTAATTATCAATCTTAATGTCATTAGAACTCAAAATAACCTTCTAGACTTTTCTAGAAGATTATAATCAATCCTAATAATATTACGAATAATAATTAATAGGCCCTCCACTAGATCATTGGGCCATTAAACCATTTCAGACCCAAATTAGTATTTGGACCATAACTTCCTCATTATTCATTGGCATTGGGCTTATAATATATCATTGGAAAGCTCTTTGCGAGCCTGACCCAACTACACTATTATTGGACCCTTATCATGGACCAAGCTAAATTCGACAAGCTATTTTCATAAAATAGAGTTCTTTTCAAAAAGAAAAAGAAAGATTTTTATTAAAACAAACACATCACAAGACCCTTCACTATTTCACCTCATTCGATAATCACGCGACGTGAAATGTATTCATCACTAAATTTTTTTTTTGGGGAGACATAATTGGGTGTCTACTGGATGGGGTTGCAAAACGAGTTGTGGTGGTAGGGTGGCGCCGGAAAAAGGAATGGGGCGGCGCCAGCGGAGGATAGATTTGGCGGTGGTGGGGTGGCTCTGACAGAAGGTGGCCAGCTGAAATGTTGGCTGGAGGTGGTTTTCTTATTTAAAAAATTAATATGTTATTTTTTAAAATTAATTATTAAAATAATTGTAAATAACCAATATGATGTTGACACGTAGCATACTTAATCCTAATGACAAACAAAATTGACTGAAGTTAGTCAATCATGGTATTTTGCGACAATTCATGAAACTCAAGTGTGTATGGTGAATATGAAAAAAATTATGGGTATTTTGTGAATAAAAAATTTAATTTAGGGGTATTTGGTTCAAATTTCGTCAATACAAATACATATTTTGTTAGGTGTCTGTTAGGGAGTTACAATGATATGGATCAAAATCGCAAACCAACCAAACTTAACCGAATTAACAATTTAGATCAGTTTTTTTTTTTAAATTCAATTTATATCGGTTTGAGATTTTTAAAAAATATGACTTGTGGATCAATTTTGTTTTCGCCTTAAAAAAACAAAAAATTGAATTTCAAATAACATCCCAATTACTCCATCCAAATTTCCCTTTATATATAAACCCCAACGGCTAAACCCTAATCATTTCCAGGGATGTCAATGGGGCGGGGCAGGGTGGATGTTGGCCTTCCCATCCCCATCCCCATCCCCACCTAATATTTTCATCCCCATCCCCGCGGTGGGTCCAATTTTCATCCCCATCCCCGCCCCACCGGTTACAACTCCAAAACCATCCCCGCCCCACCCCCCACTTGGATATCCATCCCCACCTAATCCCCACCAAAGACCCGCCTAATCCCCACCCAAGATCCACCTAATATCCGTATCTCAAATACACAATCTTACATAATTAATACGAATTATAAAATAAAACATTCTATACACATTTTTGTGTTATAATATAAGTGTTGTACAAAGTATTATAATTAATATTGTATTTCATGTAATTATTTTATAAATAGAATAAAAATATGTAATTTTGCTTTAAAAGATATAAAGATGTGGGGATGGGGCGGGTACGAAGTGGGGCGGGTGAGGCAGGGCGGGGCAGGTACAACTTAAAATCCACCCCCGCCCCATCACCCATGACGGGTATGATTTTTATCCCCATCCCCGCCCCACCACCCGCCAAACCGAGACCCATCCCCGCCCCATTAAAGCGGGGATTGGGCGGGTCTCCTACTTGACCCGCCCCACTGACATCCCTAATCATTTCCCTCTCTTTTTTTAGCCTTTCTCACTCTTTCCTTGCGGCAACATTGTTTCCCCTCCTTTTTAACTAAATCATTGCCTTACGACCATTGGCAATGCTCAATCTTTCACTCTTTTCGGATTCGATGGTCCCTCATTATTCTCCCACATCCTCCTTCCACCGCTTCCTTTCTCACTCTCAGTTAGTTAATCTACTCTGACGGTCCTCAACGCTGTTCGTCATCTGCTCCCTTTCTTAACCTTTAATTTGTTTTTAATTTAGAATTTGGAAGGCTAGTGTATGAATTTGTTGTTACATTTTTGTTTTGATTAAATTTTGAACGGTGGTGTATGTATTTACTTGTTAGGTTTTGATTTTCTTTGAATTACGAATGGTGGTGTATAACTTGTTTGGTTTTTTTTTTTTTTTTTTTTTTTTTTTTTTTTTTTTTTTTTTTTGCTTTAATATGAAGTACATAAATTTGCTTGTTTAGTTTGATCTTTCGTAAATTTTGGTTCGGTTTGGATAAGATTGGATTAAATCCAAATTTAGTTGGATTTAGTTTCAAAATTCAAAACCGAATCAATTCGGTTTGGATTAGATTTGATGTAAAATCACTAGTACATAATTAGCCTTAAGTAACATCCAAAAAGTGGTACATAAAACAGTAAAAGTGTTATTATAAATAATAGGTAACACTTTAGTAGGTGATACATCCGTCTATGTTACCTAAGGTTTTATGTAACACTTTACGTAATGTTTGTGTAGACACCTAAAAATGTCTCTCTAAAACCAAACTCGATGATAACCAACCTTTCACTATCATTATTGGTCGGGTTGACTATTTAATCTTTAGAGTGCTTAATCTATATTTCAATTCAATAAAACAGTAAAAGTGTTATTATAGATAATAGGTAACACTTTAGTAGGTGATACATCCGTCTATGTTACCTAAGGTTTTATGTAACACTTTACGTAATGTTTGTGTAGACACCTAAAAATGTCTCTATAAAACCAAACTCGATGATGAGCAACCTTTCACTGTCATTATTGGTCGGGTTGACTATTTAATCTTTAGAGTGCTTAATATATATTTCAATTCAATACATTGCATAAACCAACTCAATTCTTAGTCCATTTCCCTAAATCATAACTTACTTTCCACTTTTCGTGTTCACATCACAAAATCCTTTCACTGTCATTATTGGTCGGGTTGACTATTTAATCTTTAGAGTGCTTAATCTATATTTCAATTCAATACATTGCATAAACCAACTCAATTCTTAGTCCATTTCCCTAAATCATAACTTACTTTCCACTTTTCGTGTTCACATCACAAAATCGAGAGAAACTGATTTTGTGGCCCTATAATTTTTGATCAAATTATTATTTTGTTGTATAGAAATTTCAATAAGCTTGCCAACGATATATCATAAACCCAATTACGAGCTATAACGAAAAATGTATTACAGAAATACAAAACACTATCCAAAACTGACAATGTCCCACTATTTCGGCCATATCCTTTATTCTACAAATTTTTTAATTTGATTCCAATTGGGTTAGAAATTAGATTTCAAGATCTTTCCAACGACATATTATTTATCTTATTTCGATTTCTGGATCAATATATATGATAAAAAAAAAACCGCAAAAAATGCTGCACATCGCAAGAGTTTTATTCCGATTCGAATTCGGATCTTTTCTTGATTCTATGACCCTTATTTTCTTCATAAACACAACTACAGAAAAAGGCAAAGAGACCCGTTGAAATATGCATGACAAACCGCCTTTCAAGGGGTCTCTATCTCAGGGGTCTCTTTGATTAACAGACCCCCCCCATGAGGAGGGTCTATTTATGCAGACAAAACGACCAATTGTCTGTGATAACGGGTCTGTTATCTAAGTGATAAGATTGATAATTAATGAGAGAAAGAGACCCGTTGTTTGAGATATGGGGTCTGTTTAGTTGTATGAAACAGACTTGCCAAGTTAGCTAACGAGTCTCTTTGGTCAATTTTTTTTTTTTATGCGGTTTGCATTTGAATTATTTTTGTTTTATAGTGGAGTTTGTAATTTGTATACTTTATTTGGGGTAAATACAAATCAATCTCTCAGATTCACAAAATTTGTTTATCACATGATAATTTTGATAAATCTAACAACTTTTTCCATAAAAGTGAGTCCTATAGTGATGATGAGGATAAAGTTGTAAATGTAATCAATAATACGAATAGCAATGAACTAAATCAAAATTGAAGAGATAAAAAGAATAAAAATAAACCAACGTAAAATCCTAACAAAAAAACTGTATTGAATTTATGAAAATTTATATTTACAATTACATCAAAAAAAATTGGCAGAATTGATGAGCTAAATTAAGACTTGAGTACTCCATTTGCTTTGTGTGTTGTGATGCCATAAAGTAGGTAGATCTACAAAAAAACAATCATAATTAAAATAATAAATTATTATAATTGAGAATTCCACTAGAAACATTCAATAACAATAACAATATAACAAATGAGATACCAATACCACGATAACTCATCATAACAATGTCATGAAACTGATTGGATTTCATCATTCTTAATTTCATAAACCTTACTTAAGTAGACAAAGAATATATGCTACTTTCTGCTCAAAATTCCATAGTTTCACATGATAATCCAATCACAATTAATATTAATTAAAACAAATCACAGTAAAATATGAATCATTTCTGCATTTTCATGAATAAACTTGTTTTTAACAACAAAATAAATAAACTAATTTAATAAACAGCGGAAAAAATAAAAAAATTAACCTGAAACAATTGAACTGCAATGGTGATCAATCTTCAACAACTACCCAGAATACTCCCACAATCCAAAGAAAATGAGATATTAACAATAAACTTGAGGCTTAAATATAAAATTTAATTGAAAAACACAATCAACAGGAGGAGAAATACTGCACCTCAAACTAAAGAACCTTTCGCTATTATCTTTGTCATTACACTGCACCACTGTTATCATCGTCTTCGTCGCCATCGCTAGTTTTATATCCTTTGAATTAAATTAAGTTTTAAAAAAAACCAAATTCTCAGAGGCATTTCAACAAATAATTAGAGGGTAAAAAAGATAGAAAATATAACCATAGATTAGAGTTAAACCAAAAATAAATTCACCCAATTCAACATTCAAATTATAATAATAAAAAAAAAACGAGAAAAACAATACCAACACCACAAACCCACCGGTAAAAAACCCTGGCCACCAAAGAAAAATCTCAAAACTACTCAAGCTAAACCCAAAATCACCATTCACCACGAACTAACTCATAATCACCCCACCAAAAACCTGTAAAATCATTAAAAATAAAATAGAAAGGAAATATATCTTTTCAAACACTGTAATTTTGGCTTTTTGGCCAAATTTAACCAAGAAACTCTAGATTTCTAGAGTTTTCATGGTCAAAATTGACCATCAAATTCTTAAATATGAGCTTTATTGATGGTGGCATCAACGTTTTTTGCTCCTTAAACGCCGGTATAAGGAGGAGGAAGAACCGACCGTCAGCATTAAGGAGGTTGCATCAACGCTTTTTGCACTGGGAGAAAAATAAGATGAGAGGAAAGTGAAAGAGAAAGATGTAGCGGCGTGATGGAGGGTGATGGGAAATGGGGGTAAGGAGAAAAAATAGGGTTTTGCTATCAGGCCCAAGAAAAAGTTGGTTTAAGTGGTTGGGCCTTACAAACATAAGAGACCTGTTAAGTTAAATTACGGGTCTTTTATTTTTTTTTCCCTCCATCTTTCCAAAATTGTAGGTGGGCCCTTTGACACATAAAAGACACGTTATCTCTAATATTAGATCTCTTGTATTAAAGAGACCCGTTGTATTAACCAACGGGTCTTTTTGTAGTAGTGACAATAGAGGTCATATCACCCCTTTGTCAATCATCAACAAGCTTGATCACCAAAAAATATTCTCTCTTCCACTCTTATATACAAACAAATCATTCTCTCTCTCTCTCTCTCTCTCTCTCTCTCAATTTCTAATCCTTAAACCTATATTCCTAATTACATCATTCTTTCCTTCAACACTCCAAGGAGTCCATACTTGACCCGAGTTTCCATCCTTAAACCAAGGCGTTAAAGGTAGAATTAACTAAGGGTTTGGACCAAATCAACTTTACTTTTTATTAATTTAATTGTTTTAATTGGACTTATATTTTTTATTGAAGATACTAACAATTTATTCATGATGTATCAATTCAAGGAAATGCGAAAAGTGAGTAATCAATCACTTAATTACTCTTATTTTTATTCTTGTGTTCTAGTATCATGATTAGGTTTATTTTTATTTGATTTGACTAACAATTTATTGTTGAATTACTTTCAATATTAATGTTCATTTTATTCTATTATAATTTTATGATCACTATATTGAATGTTTAAAGGGAACATGTAATTGAATATCACGCCTAATAAGATAATTTGGACAACCGATTTAGGATCCTTTTAAATCTTGTTGTGTAATTAAAGTGATCACGATATTTTCGTATTAGGTGTTGCATTAATATTCAACCAATTTAGCATATTAATAGTTTGGAGCGAATTGAATCTTTGTTTGCATGCCTTTGAGATCACGGGAATTGGTTTTCACAATAAGAATCGAGTAGACGCCAATACGGGCGTATGTGACTCCATGACTCATTTCGTACATACCATCATCCCCGATCCTCCTTTCATGGTTCCGAACTATATAGAGTTAGTAATCTCATGGATTATGAATGGGGTGTAACCTTCACGAGTCAATTGTTATTGACTATCGTCGTACTTGTATTCGTGGTTGCCTTTTATGATCCATGAACGATTTACAAGTTCCTTAAAAAAACTTGTTGGCGGCTCCCTACTTTATTTGTTCCTAATCGTATACGTTAGTTCCAACTTCCTATGAGTGCCAAGCATATTCACCACATGCTTAACGTAGGCGCGCTTCGAATGACGCCTACAGTATGGTAACACTTTTAGACCCTGTTTTTAAAGACGCTTTGCTGAAATATGCTCTGCTCTGCTTTACTCTGCTGTACTTAAAAATAATACATAATATTGAGTTATAATATTAATAATTAATATTTAATAAATTAATAAAAAATTAATATTTAAAAAAAAATAATAATTAATAATTAATATTTAAAAATAATATTATTATTAAAAATTAATATTTAATAATAATAATATTTATTATTATTATTAAATATTAATTTTTTAATGATCCTAATAATAAAAAATTTAAATTTACAATAATAATATTATTAAAAATTAATTTAAACATAATAAATAAATAATAATTAATAATTATAATAATAATTACGATTGAATTATAATATATAATAACAAAAAATAATTAATAATAATAATAAATAATTAATATTTTATAATCATAATATTATTAATAATAGTACTTAATATTTAATAGTTATAATATTGATAATAATAATAATAATTAATATTTGATAATAATAATAATAAATGTAGTAGTAATAATAACAGTAATAATAATAATGATAATAATAGTAATGTTATTATTATTATTTTTATTATTATGATTATAATAATAATTGATTTTATTATAATAAAAATTAATATTTAAAGATAATAACTAATATTTAAAGATAATACCAATTATTAATTTCTAATAATAATAATAAAAATAATTATATAATAATATATAATTATTATAATTATTATAATAATTATACTAATAATATTTAATATTTAATAATAATATATAATAGTAGTATTAGTAGTAGTAGAAGTAGTAGAAGTAGCAGCAGCAACAGTATTAATAATAATAATAATAATAACAATAATAATGATAATAATAATAATACTAATAATAATTAATAATAATAATAATAATAACAATAATAATTATTATTATTGTTATTATTATTATTAATTATTATTAGTATTATTATTATTATTAAAATTATTTTTTTATTAAATATAAAAATTATATTAACATATACAACAATAAAAAATGTGAAATCAACATAAACATTGTGAAATTAAATTGATACAATTTCATAATATGCCTAAACTAACTTGTAATTTCAATTAATAACTTGTAATTTAACACATGCACAAAAAAAAAAAAAAAAAAAAAAAAAAACCACCGGCTCTAGTAGAACCCAAGTAACAACAACAGTAGATGCTCTAGCATGGTAGAATATGAAGCAGCAGCTCAGCAGAGTAGATTGTAAAGTAGTAGTGTGATGGGTTTCCTAAATGGCGCCCATTTGATGAGTATTTAGGCCGTCTTTACCTTCTTTTCATAGCTTTCCTTCTTAATAAATGTTTAGTTTCACGCTTTTTCTCTTTGTTTTACCTTTTCTCTTTTATTTTGTGGTTTTGTGCATTTCTATTATTTCTATTGTCTTTTCTCCTTTATTTTCTCTTTTTTCGTGGTTTTAGGTATTGTACAGGGTCCGGGTCTTTGATATTGGTTGTTTTCCAAGTTGGAAGATGCTTGTGGATTAGGCTCATAGCATTGAGAAAGATCAAGATACAAGGAAGTGGGTGCTCCAAGTTCTAGCTCTTACGCTTTCGAGTCGTGCTCCTATGAAGAAGTGGTGTCGAACCCACCAAAAGAGCTCCTAGCTACTGCCTCTACCGTTATGCATCATCAGGAGTTTCCAGGTTCATTATCAAGTGCACAAGCGACAAAGAAAGTCAAAAGAAACCTAGATCGGATAGGGCGCGCATCGCAGCCGTGTAGCCGCGCCGCCCAGCAGCGCAGGCGCGCGTAGCTTGTGCGCGAGCGCTCCTCCCCTGCTTTCCAGCTTCAATTCGATCGATCTCGTTTCCGCGCCTCCATAAATACCTTTTGTAGGAAGTTTTTATACATAATTTTAATCATTATTTTAGCTTAGTTGAGAGCTTTTCTCTCTAAATATAGGGTTAGTTTAGGAGTAGATTTAGAGGGAGAAAGTGAGGAATTTCAATAGTGATTGAGAGATTGAAGATTCAATGGTGACAATTGTGTTGAAGATCTTCTCTATTATCAATGAGCATTTCTAAATCTATCTCATTTTATTGCTTTGTTTAATAATCAAGTTTGTTTGGATTGATTTTGATGTTTGATGCTTGATTAGTGTAGTTGTTCTTCATATATTGTTGATTCTTGCTTCCTTAGTTATTAATTGATTAGATGATGATGTTAGAGTAGTTGTTTGGCTAAGGATTGGGTGAAACTTATATGATTGATTGATTGTGCTTAATTTGGGGATTATGATGATTAATCTCAATTAAAGTAATTAATGGAAATTGTGCATGTGTGTAATTCGATAGGCCTTAAAAATTATGCTAGATTGCATTGTGAGTCTACATTGATACGGACCATTGATTTGTAGCTCGCATTTGTCGATTGAGCTTTGTTAGTGACGTTCCTAGTTAGAATCTCTCATAGTTGGCGCTAGCTAGACCTCTAGGAGATATCTTGTCGAGCTCTTTTTATTTCTCTTACCATTAGTCTTCGTAACCATTGATTTGCATGTTGTTCCCGAGTTGCTACAATTGTCATGATTACTTGTTGATCCCCATTCCTAGTGTTTTATTTGTTTGGTTTCTTTGTTTGTTAGTTGTTAATGCTCTCTCGTTATCTTTGTCTTCGACCTAGCTTAGGCACATAATTGAGAGTGCTTGAACATTACTGTTCCTTTGGGTTCAACCCTTGACTTGCCTCTATACTTGTATTTAGGTTTGTTAAGTGTTTATAAATTTAGTTTGACCGAGGGAGGATTAGTCAACGACCTAGTTTTTGCCCTCGTCAAAATGGCGCCGTTGCCGGGGAACGGTGTCTATGTTTGAGTGTTTTTGATTGCTTGAGTCTAGATCTTTGTATATACTTTTTTTTATTTGATTTTTGTTTGTTTTGTAAAAAAAAAATAAAAAGAAAAGAAAAATAAATGGCGTCTATCATTTCCTCAATATGAAAATGAGCCTTTTTGTTAATATTTTAATAGACTTGAGGGACTTTTAGATTATATTGTTCTAGTCTTTGGGAGGTTTGTGAGGTTTGGTATTTTGGTTTAAATGAGAAAACTAGGAATGAAGTTGAATGCATGCACAATGGTGAATTTAGAGCATTGTCAATTGATGATGCGTAGGATTTTTATGTTTGGCTTTCTTGGGATGTCTATAATAGGGTTAATCATGTTTCTAATATTGATGTGCAATGTATTGATTCTTCTTTTATTAGCATGAATTTCCATGAATTGTCAAATGATCCCATGGGTGAACCTAGAACAAATGATTTCAACTCTACTTTCTCTTTTGTTCATTATGATAAGGTGCATGATCAAGTTGATGCTAATGGTGTGTGATTAGGGGATTTTTATCCACCAATCACCGTCTGACAAGTGGACCAACCAGGTTCCGTCACGTGTCCTTCACGAAGGCCAATAGGAGCCTGCCACGTGTCAATCACAGATACGTCCTCTACGGACCAATCGAGGCACGCCACGTGTCCACCCATGCCAAATGGGAAAATCGGCCAACAAGGCCCAATCCTGTCTAGAGGCCCGGTCAGCCCTAGGTTTACCCTAAACCTAGAGAGTGGCACGCTTCTCAAGACTATAAATACTTAATTAATCCTCATTAATTAAGAAATCAAGAAATCAAGAGAACATCAAGCAATTGAGAAGCAATTAATCTCACCTGAAGAACAGAGAAGAACAAAAACATTACGGAACAC